GAGAGAGAGAGAGAGAGAGAGAGAGAGAGAGAGAGAGAGAGAGAGAGTATGTAGTATACAGTAAGAGGTGACTCACTTGCGGACTTGGCTCTGTAGATGGCTGTAACACAGCAGGCTGGTAGGGAGAGGTGGAGGCTGGAGTGGTGTGAGCAGCTAGGTTGTCCTAAAGAAACAAAAAATAAGCAAACACAAAAAGGATGAGACAACAAGACCAAGACAACAGGAACGTGAAGGTAAAAAGAAAAAGAAAATTAGGAATTCTAAATGAAGAGGAAGAAGAGAACAAGACCAGAACATACAGACACAACAGCAGCTAGGGAATGACCACCAAGACCAAATAAGAGGAGAAAACAGGCAAAAGAAAGAGATGATATAATACAGGTTAAATAAGATGAGCACCAAGAGGAGAACACAATACTAAGGATAGAAAAGGTCTTAGACGTCTTACTGTGGGATGAGCGGGGAACGGGTTGAACTGGTCAACGGGTTCTACGTTGGAGCTGGTCACCTGTGTGACCGACGGGTCCTGGAACACAACAAAACACGGGTCACTTTTCATCATTATCAGTCACTTAATCACCACAAGACCTCTGCTGTTCTCTGGTGCTTCTCTACTTCAAACACACCAAGACAAAAGAGGATCGGGTGAACGGCATTTTGGGAGTCAGTGTGATTGAATTTGAGACGTCAGCAACGGATCAGTGCAGTTAAACAACTGGAAATAAAAGTTTTTTAACTTTGACCTCTGGAAAACACACAAACACACACAATATGTACAGCTGTTTATCTTAACTTCAGACCAACTCTTCCTTTTTCATTTCCTGAAAGACTGAAGGTAAACCTTAAAACAATGTCTGCCCAGACTATGAAATAGACCAACGTTATATAACAATAATGTTGCACTAACCTCTGATGAATCATTACCTTCTTAACAGAAGTGAGGCATGGTAAACATTAATTGACTCGAGCATATGATCACAAAGGTGATGATTCATTCAGAAGCCGGTCTGACGACAGTTGACAGCTTTGGTTCTGATGGATTACAGTTGCAGTAGCTGGCAATATCTTCTGATAACTCATAGACAAAACGATCCATCGATTCATGGAGAAAATAATCAGCAGATTAATCGAAAATAATCTTTTGTTGCAGCCCCATAGCCCAGATAACATCTGTTACTGCATCCGTCAGCTGTGCAGATGTTTTAACAGGAACGGCAGCAGAGTGGCTTGTGGGTATTGTAGGACTTTTGTGAGATTGATAACAAACAGTAAAACTAAAAACACCGCTAAACCACACCAACAAAGTCAGTCAGAATATGAACAAGAACCTCACATGATAATTTCCAACACGTCACTTACTGGACATGTGATTAAAAGTGTGACGTTACTCACGATTACTTATCTGCTTTGGACACACCTGTAGACCTTCCCAGCAGGAAACAGAGGGTTTGGAGCAGTTTAACACTTCAAAAACACAACTAATAACTTTCTTATTGACTGCGAGTTAACTGTCAACTTGAGATTTTTGCCAGGGGGGGTGTTTAAATGACAGATGACGTCTTTGTTGATCACCACAGTCTATGGAGGTATTCAAAACAGCACATTATGCAAAATGTGTTTACCATAAGGCAATGAATGAAGAAATCTATAACCGAATTAATGACAACAACAACTAAGCCTCTCTGAAATAAGGATTGAGCTGGGACAAGCCAAAACAAGACGCCGCCTTGTTCAGAATTACAGCACCAGGGTGTGGAGACGAACACTAAGACACATCTTTATTGATATCTATGTCAACTCCTATATTAATCAGGTCCGAAGATGTTACTAATTCCAACTTAAAACAGGGTAAACAAGTACACTTGGGATCAAACCAGCATGATATTCTGACCTTTAAGTCTCTGAACCAGGAAACAGGGCTGCTTGATAACCGTTGATTGCATTGGTGTGGCTGTCGTACCCATTTTATAACTGCAGTTGGATATTGCCACTAAATAGATTTAAGTCTCGCTTCATATTGTGTATTACAGCCCTACAGTGCCATCATTTTTGAGAAGTACATGGTTTATAAAAGCACACTGAAGTTGATTGGGGGGGAAAAAGCAACAGTTTTAATGTCCCCGCAGACTGCCGGCATTGTATGAATACGACCACCTGATAGTGAACCGCCGCACCGCGTCACATAGACAGCACGACCCAGCTGCTGCTCGGGTTATTTATTCAGTCTCTTCCACACCCAGCAAACGAACCGTGGTCTCCACTGACGTCACGGCCACCTGATAATAAAGTGTGACTCTGCACTACTGTAAAAGTCACTTTGTTATATAATAACTCAAATCATAAAAGTGTGAATATGCAAAGTGACGCTTGGTTACACTAATGTGGTGGAGGTACATGTTTAACCTAAATTACATTTTATCTTGAACAGTACAAGGCACTGTGATCCAAGTGTGCAAGTAGCTCGGCGAGCTAAATCGCATCTCTTTAGCAAATAACGCGTTGAAATTGAATTAATCTTTTATGTTACATGTCTTTGCAATCAAAATGTTCCGCTTCATTTTAACGCTCCATCAGTGGTAGAGAGGCAGTTGTGCCAGCTAACCTATTTCTCTTCTAGCTGCTTTGTACCACATAAGAAGAGAGAATATACAGCTTCATGACTACTACAAAAAAAGTATGCAAATGACTTTATGCTTTTACAACTAAGGAAAGAACATGGGTGATAAACTTGTAAACACACATGGAGTGTGTCAGGGGATTTCAAAGACACTTGTTTTCTTGTGTTAGGAAAAAGATGAAACCTACGTGTGTTTAGGTGTGCAAAAATAATGATAATTATGATAAGATAGCTGATAAAATATACTCATATTTTGATGAAATACATGTGAATTTACCAGGCAAGAAACGTCTAACAAACATACGATGCAGTGGTTATCACAGCATACATTATGGTAAATGTAGGATCCAGACATTACTGAAGTTTGACATATATAAGAAAATAAAGGTCAGGCTATCTCGCCCATTGTTGCTATACTTTATGAAAGTGCCCCTTTACAAAGGCCCATGTTGACACAATGTAAGAAACATCAAATTGCATCCAACTTGTCTCAAATGTAGAATGTCTGGAATGCATCGTCCATGTTAAAATGTGAGTTTACAAGGGTCATTTTATTTCCAGTGCATTTCATAAATAGCTCATCAGTTAGTCGACGTGCGTCTCGTCTACATAAAGAAACCCTTTGATCTGTAACATGGAAGTAACTAGTGACATATGGCCTACTTCTAAACATTGAACAATACTAACTGAACACAGCAGGCCAGACGTAAGACATGAGACATAAAAACAAAGAAGTTACTGAACTTTTAATCGGCTGAACAGACTTCTAGGCTACATCCTGTAGGTTAGATATTCTCTTCAAAGAGCAAACAAGCAGCACTAGCTTGTAGCTGAGTGTCTTTGCGCAATGAAGGCGACATTACAGGACATAAATTATATAAAATCACATCCAACATATAAGGAATCCACACAATGAGGCAAATTAATCTGAAAGTTAATAGTAACTGTTATGTGGCTAAAAACGGGTTGACACATTCCTCGCTTGCTACAGTTTAACTTCCTGCAACCAGGCTAGCAGAAAACCCCGCCCTCTTTTGAAACAAAGCCCGCTGATTGGTCGAAGGACTGCCAATTATGCTACCGTTGTCAAATGGCTATCAAGAGAGCAGCATTAGACCCCTCCCCCCGACATCCACCCAACAAGTTTCCTGACGTGCTGGCTTACCTTAAACGAATGATATGTCAGCACCCAAGCTCGACTGTGCCTTAAATCTAAAAAAGCAACACTTACATTGAAAGGGTTGTCGCTGGCAGGCTCTGCGAACGGGTTGCTATCAAATCCCGACATTTTGAAAAGGCTGCGGGCCGGTTTGTCCTCTCTGAACGCAGAATAAACAACAAACTCTTCTCCGTCGTTTGAGTTGCCTCTTCCTGCCACTTCCTCGAATGAACGTACAGCGCATGCGCACTCAGTCAGTGACGTGTATGTTTTTTTCTTTTTTTTGTATTTAGTAAACCTTTATTAAAGACAATTTAATGCAGAAGACAAGTGATATTAATCAATTAAACAAACAAACATAATTTCAGGGGACAACATACTAAATATATAAAGTAGGAGGACATTATTAGTTTATACAAAAAGGAGGTGCACAAGAAATTAGTTGTCATGTATTGCTTGGTTTTATTTTTAAATATAATAAATAAAGGTTTGGAGTTTATGAGTTTGAATTCAGGTGACGGTTTCTAAAGTCTGAGAAAACAACCCTGATGATGTCATCTGGCTTAACTTGAGTTTGTCTTGAGATTTTAAATATTTGATAGAAAACCTGCCATATCAGCTGGCCTTGGTGCATGGACATTGATAGGGAATGGTTCTAATGAAAGATGCTACTGAGTTGCATTATGGGAAGTGAACAGTAGGATACAGAGTTTTTGAGGCTTGACTCATAGGACTAAAAAGTAAGGATGTCTCGACCTCTGCTGCATCGATTTTGGCCATTCTTTTTTTAAATCGGTCTCTAACAAGTCTCAATTTAATGGCGGTGCAATACTAAATTGCAGGAGGAACCCTTTAAGGCAGGGGACTGCTGATATGAATGACAACTGCACAGCACTGAGTTTAGTGACCATGGAAGTAGCCTCCATTACATCATTTTTATCATCTAGTATCACTTCTAACTAGCTTTCTAGTTACGGTTTTGCAATGCTATTTATTTCTCTTCACTTCAAACAGAACAAACAATACAGAAAACAAAACAACAGTATGGGCCAATCCATGTAACAGTGGTGTAATTCAAAAGTAATATGTTTAAATAATAGTAATTACAATAAATAATAATAAGATAAATAAACCTTTGAATAATGCTAAGAAACAATTCAGCTTTTGCGGAAGCACACGGACTGAAATAAACACAGATAAAAGAGGAAGTCAATCCTAAATAATAAAACTAAATTAGAATAGAAGTTAACATAAAAATAGAAACAATAAGAACTATACAAGGTAAGTATATAAACTATACAAAAGCAATTAAAGACTAAATAAATAAGTGACATAGATGTGATTCAGCAAGTCTATGACAATGACATAAGATATGATTAATAACATATAATATGATCAAGGAATTATATAATAAATATTTATATAAAATTAAAATAAACAAAATAATAAGAACTAACTAAAACGGTGCCGATTCTTATAAAAAATAATAATCTACTAAACTCAATGGATCACATAGACACCAATCATTCAAGCTTCTCTACAGCTTTAAGAACTTTTTGCAAGTAACATAAAAAAATACTAGTTCATCAAATGTGGGTTTTTTTTGTGTGTTTTTGCGTTTTCATAGTGACGTATTAGATATTAAACTAAAAGAGAGAGAGAGAAAGTCGCGAGTCGAGTCGTGACGTCACCAAAACGGTCTGACAAGCTGACGTAGCATCCAGCCATGGAGGAAGTGAGAGGTGAGCGAGATCTTCTCTCGACACGAACCGTTTTAAATCATCCGGTAACGTCGGTTAACGCTTAGCCAGCTAACGGTGCAATGGTTTGTTGACGTCATAGGATACGTGAGACAGGTTTATTGATGCGTTAAAAAAAAGCTCGTTGTTGAGCGTTACAGGCATTTGTATTTTTTTCCCCAACATCCTGGCTAACAGGCTTAGTTTGCCTCAGATAAACCTGCTTACTGTTGGTGTTTCTGTCAATGAACGTTGCCTCGTCAGCTGCCCGGTGTTACGCAGAATAATGTTACTGTTTTATTATAAAAAGAAGGGATACCGTATATTTAGCCAGGTGGTGTGTGATTATTTCCCCCTGTCTAAAACACGCCACGCCTTATTGAACTACAGAGCAGCTGTTAACAAACCAGTTTATTAGCCTCCAAACTGCGGGGTTTGTTTTAGGAAGACGTGCTTTCTGTTTTTTCCTGTCTCTTATTTATATGTGGTAGGAATGTAATTATGTAACATTAGTTAGTTAATTTAATATTATTCTATTTCATTGCATATATTTTGCATTTGATATTTAATATGTTTACTCTGTTATTTTATTTACCTGTACCATAATTGCTGCTGTAGCGAACACATTTCCTCTTGCAGGATTAATAAAGTATCTATCTATCTATCTATCTATCTGTCTCATTAGACAATAGGTGACAGACACACAGCCCTTAGACAGAAAAAAAGATGTACACAGTTCACATCTAGGAAGGGTAATAAAAGAGGGTCATGTTTTTTCACAGCTGTAAAGGGCAATTGGAGGCCCCTGGAATATACTGGATTCAGTACTGTTTTCACTTTTTGTTTAAAGAATACAAACACTAGATTTGGTCCCTCTCTCTCAGTGTTTCCCCTGACCTGTGCCGTGCAAAACTATGCGTGGGGGAAGGTCGGGCTGGACAGCGAGGTGGCCAAACTCGTGGTCGGTGGAGACCCAGTAGCTGTGGTGGAGGATGGCAAGCCCTACGCAGAGGTGAGGTCATCACTGGGAAGGTATACTGGTTCAGATCACCGGACTGGTCCTTGAGCAGGACGCTGATAAACCTGTGAAAATGCATGAGCATGTGTTTGACACAGGGATTGAACTGTGGTGTTGTGCTCAGCGTCTTGGCAGAGAGCCTTGTTCTCTCCATGCATTTCATGAGTATTTCTTTATTTAGCTGCAGCAGCCCTGCAGGGTTTTGTCATGAAGGTCATTAGTTCAGGTTATTCCGCTGGTGACATTTTCACGTACCGCAAGCCACATTACTGTCACATGCCAGGGTTGGTCATATTACTTTTCATGCTTATAGTCAGATGATGGTATGCATGTTTAATCCTACATTACAGTATGGGACTTATTGTTGTCTACGACATGTTAGTCTTACAGTTGTATCTCCCCATATTTACTATAAATGTTTGGTGAGATACCATCAAGATCACTGTTTATTTATGCATTTGTTCAGTTGCATTCCAGTGTCCTAGTAATGATAAAGTTAAGTATCTACCGATTTATTAAAAGAATAAATATATGGAGCAATACAAATACAAAGGAACAAGATTGAAAGCACATCAGCAATTTGTGAGGATATGCTATTGGAATAGCACTGAAACTGTTACATGGGTCAAGTCAGGTCTGTCCCAGGTTAGAGAGACTGCCCTGTACCAAAAAAGTACAATAGGTACAAAAACTTTGTCTGCGTTTGTCCACCAACAAGCGTGTGTCCCTGAGTGTCCTTCATTTACATTAAAGGCATTAGAGTAACCCTCTTATCCAGAGTGATTTACACTCAGTGAGCTAGTTGGGAGTCTTCTCTCTTCTCACTGAGTATAAATCACTTTGGATTACAGCATTAGATAAATTGATTTAATGTACATTTATGATAGCAGGCCTTTCTCTCAGAGTGTCTGGAGACGACTTGGACTCCCTGAGGAAGCTTGTTAACAGAGCATAAAGGAAGGAAGCAACATAACTGTCGTGTCTAAAGTTTGATTTATTGGTTGTGTTTCACATTCACTGTCCCACTTGTATTTTCCCAGTTAGGTCAGAATAACGTAACCTACCCGTCTCTACCTTCTCTTCCAGCTGTGGATGGGTGCCCACCCAAAAGGCGACGCCCAGATTAAAGACAACCGGATCGCACAGACCACGCTGGGCCAGTGGATCGCCCACTTCCCTGCCTGCCTGGGTTCTAAGGTGAAAGACACCTTCCAGGGTCAGCTGCCCTTCCTCTTCAAAGTCCTCTCTGTCAATACAGCCTTGTCCATACAGGCCCACCCCAACAGAGTGAGTACACACACACACACACACACACACACACACTGTTACGACCGGCTCGGAACTCGCAACATAAGGAGGGACACAACACAAAGTTAGATCCAAAAACCAAAGGTTACAGTTTATTATAGGACACGAAACAAACGTAATGTGCAAATCCAGCAGAAGACCAGGGTCTGGTGCCAGGCGAGACAGCGAGGGCAGCGAGGGCAGAGCAAGGATCCGCTTATATAGGTGAACCCCACACGTTCATCCAGGTGCACTCAATCACTCATCAGGGAGCTGCACCTAGAACTCAAAGACATAGAATACACATGTATGCACACCCACACACACAAGCACAAACATTCACAGCAGGACATAGCTTAAAGTCTTTATAAATGTCTATGTGGATTAAGGCCAAAGGCAAATGTTTACAGTATTCAATTGATCCAATTGAGACAAAGAAAGTGCTATACACAAATCTACATATATGGTTAGAAGTATTATATTCAACATGATTTAAATTGTTTTAGGATGACTGACATGCTAATATATATTGCTTAGTTAATTTGGTTTAAACTGTAAAACCACTGGACCTGTGTATGAACTGAAAAACAATGAGTCTGCTCGCTCTCCTCCCTCACTTCCCCCTTAAGTAACCCTCTTCCTTTTCTGTCGCTACGGTTTGATCAGGAGTTAGCTGCTCGTCTCCATGATCAGTTTCCAGAGCACTATCCAGACAACAACCACAAGCCGGAAATGGCCATCGCTCTCACCCGCTTTCAGGGCCTCTGTGGCTTCAGACCAGTGGAGGAGATCCTGGGATACCTTAAATGTGAGTCCCAAAGTCCCACAGGGTCATTAGTGGATTTTGGATTGATTTTTGACCAATTACTGGAGAAACAAGGGGGAAAAAATATTTATTTTAGTGTCAAACCTCATATATTTTGGGGAGGAAAAGTTACTGTACATTGAAGGGTAAATGTTTGGCAAAAATGAAATTCCTACCTGGGCATATATGTGTCTGCATCCATCAGGTGTCCCAGAGTTCCGTGCTCTGGTGGGCAACGAGGCAGCGGAGGAGCTGCGGTGCAGCGTGGGAGATGCGGTTCACACGAGCCAGATGCTGAAGAAGTGCTTCACCAGGATGATGAACTGCGAGAAGAAGGTGTTCGTAGATCAGCTCAACATGCTGTTCAAGAGAGTCACTGAAGAGGGTGAGGAGCTGGAGGGATGCAGCTGATGATGATGAGTCAGTTAGTTTGGTTGGTTAGTCATTAAGCCTAACCAGCTTTCAGAGGTAGAGGTGCAACAATTTAGCCAGTTTATTTTTCTACCACCAGGAGGCGCCAAGTTTTAGACATTGTCTAATCCTACAACTTTGGGGCTTTAAAACTGTTTTTTAAAGAAGCACAAGTCAGCTGTTGAGCTCTTATAACTCGTGGCTGTTTATGACCCGTGCAGGTGCAGCAGGGAAGGACACATCGAGCAGCAACGGTGACCTGCTGCTCCGTCTCCACTCCCAGTATCCCGGAGACATCGGCTGCTTCTCCATCTACTTCCTGAACTACATAGTCCTGGATCCAGGACAGGCCATGTTCCTGGGAGCCAACGAGCCACACGCTTACCTTTACGGAGGTCAGACGACGCTTTGTGAGATTCAGTGCTGTAGATCTTCTCCAGGCTGAATGAGTACAGTAGAATGTAGAAATATAAAGGATCATTGTTAAAAAAGGCTCACTAATTTCCCTTAACAGCTGGGCACTGCAGTTTTTTATCAAACATTACTCAAAGAGGAGTAAATAGTGCATTCATTAGGGACTATTTTCAGTGTGTGTTTATGGTAATGAAGGAATGAAGGAAGATGCCAGCTAGTGCAACCGTGTGGCTCATTGATGTGCTCTTCATGTTTTTGGAGCTATGAGATGTGTGATTATTGGTAGAGTTCACCTTTATCTGGCTGCTGTTCCTCTCCACCCATATATTCATCCCACAGTTGAGTGTTGACGTTCACATTGTCAAAATGCATTCTTGGAATCACTAACTGTAAAAGTAAACGAGGCAAGTGGAGGAGGAGAAATAGCTCCTGTAATGCGTTGAACGTCTCAGGCTGATCTAAGCTGTATCGAACATTGTAAGAGTATTTGACAATTGATTTTTCCATTTGAAGGAGAGCTGACTGCCCACTTTGCTTATTTATAAAACTTGCTTTCCCTTTCTCTGTCTATTCATCCATCCAGACTGTATCGAGTGCATGGCCTGCTCCGACAACACGGTGCGGGCCGGTCTGACACCGAAATACATCGACGTCAACACGCTGTGTGAGATGCTGAACTACAGCCCGGCGCCCGCTAGCTCCAAAATCTTCCCGTGTGTCCAGGACGCTTCAGATCCCTGCGTGTCTCTATACGACCCCCCAGTGCCAGACTTCACTGTTATGAGGATACAGGTAGGACACCACAGGGGAAAAAAAGATTTGTATGTGTATTAGTACTACAGAAACGTCCTCACCATGTTCTGATCCCATCCCTCCTGCAGGTCCCGGCCTCGGTGAAGCAGTACACCGTTGCTCCGGTCGACAGCGCCAGCATCCTCCTGGTCATCGAAGGCGACGCCGCGGCTACCTCTGCCGCTGCCCTCTCCGACGTCTCGCTGAGGCGGGGCACCGTCCTGTTCGTCTCGGCCAACGAGAGCGTCTCCCTGCACGTCACCTCCAAGTCGGGGATGACCATGTTCCGAGCCTGCTGCCTCCTGTAGCTGTGAGTCCGTGTGTGTGAACCCTCATGCTACCTGTGTTCTTGTTTCCCTCCGGTGTGACTCAGAACGGTCTGCACTTTTTAGAAGGTAGTATGTTAAAGGAGCTTTCAGACAATGAGTAGATGCCTGTTTGTGCCCGCTGCTCCCCCCCCCATCCCAACCTCAACTTTAGCTTTAAAGTCCAGCAGTGATTCACTGCTAATTTGTTTTTACTGTCTTTTTTACCTGTAGTGATGCAATTACATCTTATGAAAAGAAAAAAAGCAGAAGATGCGCACATCCAAAATTCTTTGTAGGTGCTGGAACGAGGAAAGCATACTAAGATTAAAAAGTAAAATATGTCCACAACACTGAATAGGACCCAATATATATTAAAATGCACATGAACATCTTTAAATTGACCTTTGTCAGGCTCAAGTTGAGGGTTCTTGATGAAGATCCAGCATTCAAAATTGCATGGAAGTTTACACTCGACCTCGAAAAGAGCAGTTGAGAAAACAACCTCATGAGGTTAATTTTGTAGCCGTTCTGGAGCTCACAGTCCTTTAAGTGCTTAGAAGAATTAAAAATGTCTTCAATTCCATTATAACACCCATCTACTGATGAAGACCTTTGGGTATGATCGAAAGCTCTGGAACGGCTAATAAATGAACCTTTTGGTGAGGTGGTTTTCTCACACCATCCACTGATGAGGCCAGTGAGACGCTGTTAGAAGCCTGGAAAAATCCACCAAATGAACCTCAAAATGTTTTCAATGTTTATTTTAAATGAGTTGTCCTTCAGTGTTTCTGACATGTTTTCCTTTTTATTCCTAATGCACTTACAGCTGCACGTTTTTATCCTATTGTTACACATTCAAACAACACTGGAGCAGTGTGTGTGTGTGTGTGTGTGTGTGGGGGGGGGGGTGGTGGTATGTTTACAGCGGTGCAGTCCTACAGGACCACCTCGTTGAGGACTGAGCATGTCCGTTATATGAGCCAGCAGTTAGTCTTTCTAAAAATCACTGGTGCAACTAACTGTTTTTATCATTTTAGTTTAGCTTGAAGAAATAAACATTGTTCGTATATATCAACCGTATATAGTGTAATACTGAGATGCCTGTGCATGTTTGATTTACAGCAGTAAGACAGACCCCAGAAGGTAGTACTGCTGTAACTGTTACCAGCACATGTGGAAACTTCAAGTAGAGAACAATCCTAAAGTTAAGACAACAAAGAGCTACATGGGAATCAGGAATGCATATTGATTAAAACTTACATACGACTATAAAATGCACTAATGCTGCTCGTTACAGACTTATACAATTTGACCCGAGCCCGTTAACACGTCCACGTCTTCTACAGTAGTACAACAAATCGCTGCATTCAATTTTATAGTATTATTGGAACAAACGTCTGTATTTCTGAGTATTTGAAACCGTTTTTTTTACAGACTTTGCATGTTTTGCGGAATCTGATGTACCGATTCATCAATACGTGACATTACAAAGTAAGAGAGCTGAACCCTGAAACCTGTATTATAAAGGTCTTACCTGTATGTTGTGATGTCATGGGGTGACTGGTTTATTGTCACAGTAAAAATCTTTTATGCTCACTTTATGGTAATGTCACTGGATCATTTCAGTACGGTGCAAATATTCCAGTTGGTACCGGGGTCAGTCTGAATTCAGCCAATCAGGAAGTGGATTTTCTTGTTGTGATCATTTTTTATAGGTTATCTTGAATTATATATTTGAGAATGAATGCTCTCTCTGCCTGCCAACCTACCAGTGAGTAGATATGTATCAGAGTGAATGCTTTTACCTACTTCATGACCGCATTAGTGATGTAGGTGGATCTCTGAGCTTGTCCCCAATATACGTAGATGCACTAAACCTTCAGATGTTTGTTGTTGCTGAAACTGTTGAAAAATGGAAGAATATTAAAGAGATAGGACGTTTATAGTTAAAATCATCACATTTTTCATTAAAGAACCATTAGCTCAGATTAGAGTCTCTGTAATTACAGAACCTCCGGTTATTTTTGTCAAAAACAACCTAATATTTGTGACCTTCTTGTAGAGGTTAGAGCATTTTTAACTTACTTTAACTATCACACACCTTTGTCACTGATCTTGTTTTGAGTCACCTTTTAGTTTGAATACTGTACTTTGCACAGGAATCAATGTTTTACCTTAATTGTTTTATTTATCGATGGAACTTCTTGGGGTATTTCTCCAGTGAGGGCATGGTTTAGCATTTTTAATTACGGTGATGCTGTGTAGCCTGGGACTGCAGAGAACATGTGGATGTAAAAGTGGTTTAATAAAGCCGTGTGCCATTAATGTGTCGTGTTCGTTGTTTCATTTCACGATAACTGTCAAAAGAGAAGAAGCAGGTTTACAGAGTTATCTGGATAAACCATGTGCTTGATGTTTGGGGGGGTTCAAGGTTTTATTCGCCACGTTTAAGTCCTGATTACTCAATAATTAAACATTAACGTGTGTTGACTTTGAGCGAAATCAGGGCTTAATTTTCTTGTTCTTGATTGATTAAATATTCCAAGTATTTATGAAGCACTAACCAGCAATGAAGTATATAATGTGGGACACACTGTAGAAATACAATACATTTATTTACCTCCAATAAAAATATTCTGTGGATCTTATTGAAACCTTTAGTAAACTCAGGATAAAAGTGCATAACATGTCCTCAGTAACCAAACTATATACACAAGGCACAATTTCAAACAGTCATCACTATTTTCTCACGTTGATGAGAGGAAGAGAAACATCTGCCCAGCGACATCTTCATTTTCTCTATTTATAAATCACACAAACTGACGTCTGTTGTTCCAGAAATAAATAGTGAAGACTTATCAAACAACCATGACTTCCAGATGTGCATGCATCATCCAGATGTGCATGCATCGTCTCTGTACACCTCCATCACCTTTCAAAAGCTCTGACAGCTTCCGCTGCACACGAAGAACAGCAGCCCTCTCGTTCTGTGCCATCGAGCCACCCAGTGGGGTTCATCTGTTCTACCTTGTGGCCTTCTCTTCTTTGCCGTCTGAGACCTTAACAGTCTGTCTGTTCTCCCACAGGGCCCTTTATTTTTAACACTCGAGACAGCAGGTTTGTTCTCCATGGTGTCCAGAGTAAACCCATGCCTGCAGATCACCTCTGCCTTGGGCTGAAGCGCACTATACAGCGCCTGTAACGCCCGCACATCCTCCAGAGCATCATGGGCCTTGTAGTCCACGCCCAGCAGCTCCCTGACCAGGTTTGTCTGTCGAAAGCTCTGGAGGCTGCGGTCCTTCAGCAGCTCCCGAGCCAGCGGAAGAGTGTCGACACAGCCGGAGACCGCCGACTCGAACTCCGCTCTGAGGTCCAGTTCATCGAGAGCTCGGGCCAGCAGCGGACAGTCGAAGCGGCGGATGTTGTGGCCGAGGACAAGAGGGCGCCCGAGCATCTGGAGGAACGCTACGAAGGAGACCAGGACCTCCCGCAGGGAGTTGGTGGGGACAAGTTGGCGATGGAGGTACAGCCTCCGTCTGTGGACCCTGAAGCCGGTCACTTTGGAGGCTCCACGCTGCATTCGACACCGAGGGACGACGTAGAGGTTGAGAGAGTGGCCTCCGCTCACTGCAGCCAGCTGGACGATATCACAACTCTGGCCTGAATAAGACATGAAGATATAACAGAACATAATAGTTAATTGCTACCGCAGTATTAAGTCACAATTAGGAACAACAGGGCACACATCTTAATATTAAACTGAAGTAGAAAGCTTTGTCCTAGGGAAACATCTGGTATCATGCATTATGGTTTCTGTATCTTTCACAAGCAGGCAGAGTAACCGATCAGGACAGTCGTTTGTAGTGTTTTCATTCATTCATGTTGTAGTGAACACGTGACATTAAATAAACGGTGTTTATGCTGCAGACATGGACGTGATGTCCACTGTCTATCCCAAATATAAAATAAAAAGAGCCTTGCTGCACGAGTGTCCTCCTGACAATACATGGACACTTTAAACAACCATAAAGTTGTATCTAGTATATAAAGGGAATAAAGGAACTAACACAGTCCAGTTGTCTCCAGGTCAAAGAAAACCAGCGGATGTTGACACTTTTCATCTCCGTCTGAATCTGATGTTTTCATCCCGCCACAGTTTCAATAACGTTTCACAGTGAAGTTTAGTAAAATAGACACACTAGAGACGCTGGTAGTATCGTATCTAACTACATACAGGCGTCGGTAAACACCACCGTAGAGATTTTCCCTCCGCGGTTTTAAACACCCGCGTAGAAGAAGATAAGAACTTTCAAAATAAAAGTTTTGTTGACAGAGAGAAGGAGAGAAAAATGTTCAGCCTCGCGCTAAAAAGATTAACGTTGTAATCACACACGTAGTTATAAACTGCAGTGTGAAATTGTAGCAAATTAAAGTCATATTTTCCAACAAAAAACAAAAAATACTTCCCACGATTTTAGCCGAGTGTCAGATTTGCGCACGCGCAGAGAAGCCCTTTCTTCTTCTTTGATATATATATATACAGAATACAAGCATGCTGCCCCTACAGGACATACATGGTAGCGCTACGAGCCTGTAAATAAGAAAAGATGAACTTCGGTACAGTACTACATATCTCTAACAGTTGGGCTGACACTGATTCTAGTGTTATATTTTGTAAGAAAATTGATTATTATTATTCTTATTTCTATATAAAGTATTTTCATATAGTATTTTTAGCCAGAGGAATATTTGTGGGAAACCACTTTAACATTGTTGCTGACTTTGATTGCCGTTCTAAAACTTGTGATTAATTTGATTATAGTACTGGGTAATTTCACGAATCATAAATCTTTTTAATTCTATATTTTTTTTTTAATCTTTCCTTTTTTGTATGAATTGCCTTTTTGCAAGGATTATTTGAAAGTATAAAAAAGTCGCCTGAATAATATAATTTTCATATATGTCTTTTGATTATTAATCTGGTTGGTATTAATTCCCCTTTTTTGTTAAAGCTGTGATATGTGATGATTGTCACCTCTAAGATTGAAATAAATTGCCCTTAATATAAGGAAATTGATTATATTTTCAACAAGGTATCCTTTAATGATTGTCTCTTTTAATACTTTATTTGCACTATATGCATGCATGCGCATGCATGTATGTATGTATGCATGTATTATTTATATCACTAAGCTCCACTGGTCATCCTGTGAATGAGGAGAGATTTTCTATGTTGAAACATACATAAAAGTCTTTGTGATGCAAATCAGAATAAAACTATAAAATACCAAGTTGACGAGAAGAATCAAACAGAAGTTTAATGTTACTGGATTTATTTAATATTACTGGACATACATAAGAGTACAACACTTGTGAGTATGACACATGCTACAATACATACAACACAATAAGACAAATCAGCATACAGTACAAACATTACATATCTTTACGTTTGGGGTGTAACATGCATTTATTTGTCTCCAAATCGCAAAAAGTTAATTCTACCCGTAATTTTCTTCTAAGCGTTTAAAATACCAGTCTGTCCAACCACCCGAGGGTATATGATGAGAACAACTGCAAAGGAAAGGTTCCATTTTAAATGAATTTATTGTTTTCATGGCAAGATTTTGTTTGTTTTCTGTAGCTTTTTTTTTTTTTAAACTAGATCGAGAAGGTAACTGTGGAGATGTCCCGTGTGCTGGGATGCCATTTGTTGAACAGCTCCTGCAGCATCGTGGCGTCCTCCACTGCGTTGTGGGCGTCGTAGGTCTTCTTCAGGAAGTGGCGGACCATATTCTCTTGAGAATAACTGTGCAGACGAAACAGGTTCTTGCTCAGCGGCAAGGTGTCCAAAAACACGGCCGCCACCTGCTTAAACTCCTGCAGCAAACTGAGCTCTCGCAGCACCCTGCAGAGCACGGGGGCGTCGAACCGCATTGCGTTGTGGGCCGCCAGCAGCACGGGGCTGCGGAAGGAGCGAAGGAAGTCGATGAAGGAGGTGAGCGCGTCAGCAAGAGGGACGGTGTTCACGGGAGTCCCTTTGAGCAACAGCTCGCCATCGCTGACGGTGAAGCCCGTCACCCGCTTGGCGCTCTCAGTGAGCTCGCGGTCCGGGAGGGTGTAAACGTTGAAGACCCGGTCTCCACTGACCGCCGACAACTGGATGATGTGACACACTGTAGTGTCTGAGAAGGGTTAGGAGAGCAAGCACATGTGAATAGATGTAGGTTATACAATACTTTTTGTCAGCAAACTGCTCATTGTTGTGATTTTTACTCCAACTATCAGCGCCTTTAAAGGACCGGTGTGTAAGATTTAGTGGCATCTAGTGGCGAGGCCGCAGATTGCAACCAACTGAACGCCCCTCCGCTCACCCCTCCCTTTCCAAGCACGCCAAAGACTTTGCAGTGACCTTCAGGAAACGTAAAAACCACACACTGTATACAAGAAGTGGACGCAGTCATCGTGGTGTCACCCGCTGGTTTGGTTGAGGTTTTACAATGTTTACTGAGGTAATAAATAAAGTGAGAAGTAGAGTCATTTTCTCATAGACTTCCATTCAATCAGAGTTGTTTCTGCAACCAGAGGAGTCGCCCCCTGATGGTCAGTAGAGAGAATGCAAGTTTTAACTGGCTTCACTTTTCAAATCTGGAGGTTGTCTAAATAAGAAAAATTAAGACAACTTGATGCTTCATCTACACACTCTTTTCACAACGTGGACATCATGACAACTTTGCTATTGCCAGATATTCAGTCATTTAAACTGATTCACCAGGTTTTGTAATGTGCTAATAACTTCCGGTACACAGAAAGTAAAGAAAAGGCTTTTGCTGTGATTGTAAATACTACAGTGTGGTTACTGGAGAAGTAAGAACAATAGACGTCGTGGGGAGAGGCGAGCAGGAGAGTCTGATTAGAGGGAGTCAAATATTTTATTTCATGACGTAGATTAAATCCCAAACGGTCAACTCCATCCCAGAATTGGCCGTGAAGATTAGAGCTGATTTAAAACAGTAGATGTTGAGCCACTTTCAACCGTGAAATGCAGATCTTTATCAATTTGGTAAGAAATGTCAATATTAACATCAGCATTGATATGTTTCATCAAAGTACAGTCATTTTTTAATTTACAGTTTAAAAAAACACATTTAGGTGTGTGGTTACTTTATGATAAAACATTTTTTAGGTTGTAGCTTCCGTAGCCTGAACAGGAAGCGCTGGTTGGTTTGTGGTTTAGCAGGGACACTTCCTCAGAGCTACAATCTTATTGGTTCTATGACAAATCTCTTCCTCTCTGAACAGACTTAAATTTCTTAAGAACTTCATGAAGTCGATCGGTACCTATTCTAAGATAGAAATAGAAACTGAAACTTCCCAGCTGATGCATGTCAACAGGTGGAGCCTTCAGAACGATTTGTTAAACAAATGTGTGTCATCACACTGGTACACACTGAATTAAACATTTAAGACAAAGCTCTTCTATCTAACAGTCCGTTTGTTATTGGACTAAATGCAAAATTAAAATTAATTTTAGTCATTTTGTCTGAATAAACAATGAACGTAGAACATTTAAATTATTACTTTGACATTAAATTCTTAGTAATGAAGGCAACAAGTAATGGCTGAAAGATCTGGAAAAAAATCCAGTATTAATTCAAAGACTTTCAAGACAAAGAAATAAAATAATTAATACAAAGAAATTAATCATAATTTTTTTACATAGCTATTGTTACAAAGGTTAAAGTTATAACACTGATTGTTATTATAAGGCAAATAAAAGATCATATTCAATTGCCAATGATAACGTAATTAAAGTTAATGTTACCTAATCCAGTGGTCTCCAGGTCAAAGAAAACGATGGTTCTGTTATCAGACATCTGCAAGAATATAAAAACAGAAACATTTGAACATCTACAGTATAAACCCTTCAGTCGTGTCTGGTTTGTCTGACAATGCATTAAATAATATTCAAAATGATTATCTAGTAAGCTAGAAATGATCTAAAATTAAAAGTAAAGTTATTTTAAACATAACTAATTAAGTGAGAAATGTAAAAAATGAAAATAATAATTAAAAGTGTGAACTCACCTTGGACAGTACACAGTGGTGTCAGCTGATTTGTAGCTACAGTAGATGTCATCTGGTTACTTAATATATACTCGGTTATCTTCATTCATCAGCAGGGAGGAGTTAACAGGTGAATCATTGCCACATCATTTCTAAACCAGCAGACACTGAACTCGACTTTCATTTAAGTGGAACAGAAACTCAAAATATCTTGTTTTGTTTTTCTTCTCCTCCTTCTGATGAATCACCTTCCTGCTCATGCTGCTCTATCTGGTCGCGTGTCACAGGGTCGCACGTGGCGAAACAAAAGCCGTTTTCTCTGAAGGTGGAAACTTCGCCGCTGTTCGTTTGGTTTCAGTTTTGACCGGCGGATGATGGAAAGTTACGACTGTCACGTGAGAAAGAAACCAACGAAGGTTCAAGAGTGAATACATTTGAGAATTTAAAAAAATATATATTTTGGAATAAAAAAATACATGGAAACTAAATAAATGTTTAGTTTGTGGCTTGAAGAATTCTAATTCTTCACATTATTAAAACCTTCCTCTTGTGTTAGCTTTCTGTTACCATCTCTTTGTTACCAAAAATGTTTTTGTTTTATTTTGTTGAAATAGAGGTTCCTGACAAAGTCAAAAAGCCTTGATGCAATAAACTAATTTATGTGGTTCTTTTATGCATTTAAAACCTAAAATGGGTCGGTGCCGACCCTAACACAAGAGGAAGGTTAGGCAAAAAGGGCTAAACTGAATTTTGTATTGAATTCAAACTTAAATCACCCCTGTCCACATACTCTTGTGTACTTCTAATGGCTGCTCCGGTAGCCGAACAGCCGAGGAACGAGCCCAAGACTTTAATGCTCGAATGAAAAACACACGACCTCAGTGCTCTGCCTCAACTGACTCAATGGACTCTGTGATGACCCCTCCCTTCCACCAGGGGTCTGTGTCTGTTTCCTCTCAGGTTGTCTTGCAGGATGTTGATCGGGAGCTAACGAGCCCCACCTGAGCCTGCTGGGTTGGTCCCAGCTATAAAGGCTGCCCCTCTTCTTTGGCTGAGGTCCCTCTCCTCTCTGACTCCTGTGTGGAGGACCTGGTGGCTGCTGCCTTGTTTTGTTTGTTTGTTTGTTTGTTTATTTAGTTAGGTTTAGTTAGTTGTACTTTAAATAAATGTCTATTTATTACTTTTATCACTCGTCTTGTCTCCCTCATGTTACGACTTTTTGAGCCGGGTCGTGACATGTGGCAAAGAAATGCAGAAGTCAGTGAAGACTGAAAGCTCGAGAGAACATGGGTGTTAAAAATGCTGGATTTAGGGATTTTGTGGGAAAGATTGAATGTAAATATAACAGGGCGCCTTTACATTCTCTAAGAGAAGGCCTTTACGGCCTCTAAAAAATGACAGTCATACAAAAAATAATCCTCTCAATCATCACTCGTGGGGTCTGTATCTGCAGAGACTCTCTTCCTCCGCCTGTATTTTCTTATTTGTTGTGTTTGGGACATTTCTGGGCGTAAACCTCTATAAAAACATAGCGACTTGGTGCCTTTATAGTAATCACGCATCCAACAGGAAGGTACAAAAATGTCGGACACAGCAAATATAGATTGTTGGGCCGGGGACGAGGAGACAACTTTGAAAGTTGCACTTAAACCAAAACATAATATCTGACATTTAAAAGCAACACACACGTTTGAAGATACACCGATGTGTTGAAAAGGGAAATTGCATCCTTTCAAAGTAAAACACACATTTTATCTCTTGACTTCTGCAAAACATTACTCAACTCATTTGTGTTTGGCTGCAGTTTTGCTTTTTTTAATAAGCAGATGAATTTTTTTTCTTACAACCATAAACATGTTTGTATCATTAAAAAAAAAGAAGAAATATAACACAAATTGCACCGTATACATAACCGTGTCCATTGTGGCGCAGACAAAGAGACACAGCGCTTTTCTTTTTTCTTTTTTACTGGCTTCGTAGCACAAACATGACAGACCGAGTGTGGCCTGTTAAAATGTTGCCATGATTAATAGTAGATAATGAACCGTACACAGGATAATATATCCTTTTATAACACCTTTTATAACAGATTCTTTTAAACCAATGTACACCCCAAAAGCATGATCATAAATAGTACATACACTGTGTATAAAAGAGGAACAAAAACAACCAGAGAAAGCAGAGCATGCCTTCCAGTGACAGGTACATTCGCTTTTTTAAAATTCTTTTTTTTTGTTTTGTTTGCCATATTGTCAGCCTGGACATGTACACAGATCATCCCATCAAATATCATCTTGTAGATATTTGACCAGGAATCAGTTTTGTCCTTTCAGCTCTTTCTGAACAGCTCTACAGTTAATGTTGTAAAGATGACAACACGCTGCCCGTCTGCACACCTGCACTAAAACTGCAATCAGCCCAGTCTTCAGTGAGACCTCCAGCTTCAAGGGAAAGTCGATGAACACTGGTTGCGTTGGTGAGATCGCTCAAGAGCGTCCGATCACAGACGCAGCAAGCGGGGAGAGATATTAGAGCCTTAAAGTACAGAGACATCGTTGCTGTTGAGCTGCTGAGTCGGCCCAGGAAAACCGAATATTACACCGTTTCGGTGTCTGTGTGGACAGAGACAGAAAGAGAGAAAGGATATGCAGAGACAACGTGGACGGTCTGAGTTAGTTGCTACTTTGTTTTTGTCTGGTTTACAGGAAGATTAAATGCTACTTTTCACAGCCAGAGCCGGGAGAGAAGAGGATGGAAGAGCTACTGTTGTGGTAAGAAGAAGAAGAAGAAGAAGAAGATGGATGCCTCAGAGGACATCATGGACGGAGTGAGTGCAAGAGTTTTCCCAACAGGTGCAATGACACTCAAAACATTTGATAACGTCCGAGTTAGTTTTAGTGTCACTTGATAGTTGCAGAGACTTCTGTTTTTTCACCTGTACAAGAATTCGTTGGGCGCGGAAACACTAGTGTATGTGTGTGTAGAGAAGACTACACATGCACAGAGTGGGAGCTGATACAGTGGCAGGAAGTATTCATTCATCCAAACACACACACACACACACACACACACACACACACACACACACACACA